AATAACAACGTTAAACATAAATATATGTCTTTAATAAATAAATTGTCGGACCTTGTCCATTGCTTAATATATATATATATATATAAGCTGTATTCAGATCAGTCGATAAGATCTGTCTCTTAATTTTTATTGTATTATTCCAAACATTCGAATACTGGAAAAAGGAATAAACCATTTTCAATAAAACATTTTCACAAGAGAACATTAGCAAGTCGGTTGAATAGAATCCAACTTTAAATTAATTATCGCTGCCCAAATACGTTCACTTACACATACACACAGAGACTTTCTTTCCCTCTTTCACACTCATTCTATCAATCTCTCTCTTTCACTGACTCGCCGTCTTTCACTCCACTTTTTCTTTCTCTCTCTTTACTGTTCCCAGTAACTATTCTTATTCTTCTGTTTTGCTCCTCATTTTCGCTTACTTCCCCCTCTCTCTTTCCACACTTACTAAACCACTAACATACATACAAAGACACACACACACATATATATATATATATATATATATATATATATATATATATATATATATATATATATAAATAAATAAAGAAAGGGTTGTAGTGGTTCCAACGAGAGAAAAGTATGTATATTAAAAAGAAGAGAAGAGAGGTGCCGCAAACGTTTTTTGGTTATAATGTGGATTTTTTAGAAAAAGATATTATGCTTTATTTTCCATAATACAGCACCTCTCTTCTCTTCTTTTTGAAATACATGCATGCATATATATATATATATATATATATATATATATATATATATATATATATATATATATATATGCATGTATATATACTCACACCACACAGAAACAGACACCACATACACGCACAAATATACACACACACCCAGCACAAACACATACAACACACACACACACACACACACACACACACATATATATATATATATATATATATATATATATATATATATATATATGTATATATATATATATGTATATATATATAAACAGGCCGATGGCGTTTAGCTTAAAATAGGCTATCGTCTTTTACTGTTGAATTCAACGTTCGATGTCCACTTTTATATTCACATGCGCTGTATCCCTGAGCATTTTATCATATATATATATATATATATATATATATATTCAGAAATTATAACATATGCATATTGTAATATCACTACAGCAATAGCAATTTTGTTTCGACACTTCTGGTGCAAAATGAAGGAAAACTCTTTATTTTGCAATAAACACCATCACCTGACAACGTATATATAAATAAAAAGAAAGAACAGTAAGATATATAATCCGGTGTTCTTATAGATATTTTTATTTTTATAAAATAGTGCTCAATGTAAATTTACAGAGCATTAATATTATAAATTAATTGATTTAAAATGTGTTTTTTTTCGCTACACAGTTCTAACCATGTTTCAACAATGGAAACTGAAAGCTCCGAATTTAATTTTGTAATTAACCTAAAGACATTAGTTCCATTCGCTTCAGGATGAAATGGAAATTTTCCCCAGTTGCGACTCTGTCCTTTGACAGAGCCGCCCCTGAGAGCACTTTACCCAAAGTCAGCGACGCAACTGAGAGATGATAAAGAGATGTGTTATAAACCACTCGAAAGAGCAGTTTGCACACTATTAGCAAGCAGGGTTTTATGAGGTGACGTTTTCAGTCCCATTCTCAGCTGGTTTAAATAATTAGGTGCTACTTTTTACTCAAATACGCTCAAATATAAAAAATATTTCAGCGCATTTGGGTAAAAAATAAAAACTAATTATTTAAATATTTAAAACGCTAATTTCAATAAACAAACACTGAAATAAGAAAACTTAACTTTAAATTTAGATTTAGTAATTTAATCACTTGAAATTCAGAGGTAATTATTAATCCTATTCTATCTTATAATACTGCTAATTAAAATACTTAAAGTATTGCTTGTTACTATTTTACTTGCACTTTTTCGGTGAAATATCCACTCGGTTAAATGTCCGTCGGCCAAATCTCCGTCGTCCGAATACCAAGTATTTTTTTATATAGGATTTAATAAATTTTGTGTACATATAGATACAGCTAATGACATTAGTCATATGATGCTCACACGCATTTTAATGTTGTGAAAGGAAGATTTCGCGTAAAAATAATGTTTTGTACTTTCTGTACGTGAACAACATGATCATTACTTACAAAAATATATATGAATATATATGCAATACCAAACATTACTTCGACAACTGGTTTAAGTAACTGAGAGGAGAAGGGACATTCTCGATGGCATCATTGTGAATGTGAGAAGAAAAATTCGGTAAGCTATCAGTCTTCCCTGTTTCTTTCTCTTCGTTCCTTTTTTTAATCGCAAACTGTTAATAATTTTCTCTTTAAATTGACCAGATTTGGTGCCAACCAAATCAAAATAACTTAATCTATTCCTCTATTTAACCGATGGCTCTTTGGAGACAATGTGAATTCATATCATTTGTAAGGAAAATTCTGCTTTACCAATTAAACCATTGTATCGTTAAGGCTGAAAAGTGATTTCCCTGATTGAAAAATGGAATCCAGGTTCGATTCCTGCCTGGATGCAGCTTTAATTTAGTAAGGAATCTCAATCTTTAGGCCTACAGATATTTATTTCACTGCTTAAGAAACAGAGAAGAAAAAGAAGTTCGCACTAAATTTAATGTTTCGAATACACCTTGAGATCCTTTATTGGAAATTCTTGGAACCGGAAGTGCTTCGGTTTTCAGATTTTTTTTCGGATTTTGGAATACAGGTTATTTCATTTGTATATAGCATCTATAAAATGAGTCAGCTTGAGAATAGAAGCCATGAATAAACACAATATCCCTTTACGTTTCACAATACAGCTTATACATATATCTTGAAGGTAATTTTATATAAAATTTAATACATTTTTATCTACATACAGATACAAGTAATGTCGCTTGTCATATAATGTCATATAATGTCATATAATGTCGCTTGTCATATAATGTCATATAATGTCGCTTGTCATATAATGTTCACACAGCTTTTTAAGTGGTGAAATGAACATTTCACGTAAAAATATTGTTTTGTACTTTCTGTACAAAAACGTGATCACTACTTACTAAAAACTCTATAAATGCAATACCAACCATTAATTCAACAACTGGTTTAAATAACTGCGAGGGGGAGAGACATTTTCGATGGCATCACTGTGAGTGTGAGAAGGAAAATTCGGTAAGCTATCAATCTCTAGCAATGATGCGGTGTTTTGATAAAGATTTTACAATACATACAGAGTACAGAATGTGTATTAAAACAAAAAAAAACATGGTTTCTGATTCCAGTTAAATGTAACGAAAACTGGAGAAGTCACTATTTTATTTGTAACGCCGCAAAGCAATAATCATAATTTTGTAATTTAATCACTTGAAATTCAGGGCTTTTCTATCTTATAATACTGCTAATTAAAATACTTAAAGTATTGCTTGTTACGATTTTTACTTGTACTTTTTCGGTGAAATAACCATTCGGTTAAATGTCCGTCGGCCAAATCTCCGTCGTCCGAATACCAAGTATTTTTTTGATATAGGGTTTAATAACTTTTGTGTACATCCAGATACAGCTAATGATATTAGTCATATGATGCTCACACGCATTTTAATGTTGTGAAAGGAAGATTTCTCGTAAAAATAATGTTTTGTACTTTTTGTACTAAAACATAATCACTATTACAAAAACTATGTAAATGCAATACCAAATACTACTTCGACAACAGGTTTGAGTAACTGGGAGGAGAAGAAATATTCTCGATGTGAGTGTGAGAAAAAAATTCGTTAAGCTATCAGTCTTCCCTGTTTCTTTCTCTTAGTTTCCTTCTTTTTATTCGCAGACTGTTAACGTTTTTCGCTTATTGATTTGGTGCTTATCAAAATTCTTAGTCTCAATTATTTGGTGTACTTATTTACTTTTTGACTCTTTCTTCGCCCCCCTCTCTCTCTCTCTCTCTTCCCTTTGCTTCAACTCTTTCTTTTTCCCCCCTCTCTCTCTCTCCGTCTTTCTTCCCTTCTCTCTCTCTCTTTCTCCCTTTCTACTTATCACTCTCTCTTTCAATATCTCACTTTCTCTCTCTCTCTCTCTTTCCCCGCATTCTGTCTGTACACTATTTCCTTACACGCACTTACACAGGCACACGCACACACACACACACTCCCTCTCTATCTCTGTCTCTCTCTCCCTTTCCTTCTCTCTCTTTTTATCTGCTTTTCACGCATTCTGATTTTACAACATTTCATCTAGCGTTACACAAACACACACACATATACAATCCCCCCTCTCCCTCGCTCTCTCTCTCTCTCTCTCTCTCTCTCTCTATCGCTTTTTCTCTTTCACACCATTTGATCTTGGGTTTACACACAATTACATACACACACATAAAACCTATCTCTCTTTCTTTCTCTGTCGCTTTTCTCCCACTCCCTTTCTCTTGTTCTTTATCATTTTTACATTATTTCATCTAATGTTTATACTCTCTCCCCCCCCTCTCTCTCTCTCTCTCTCTCTTTCTGAATTCTCTTTTTTATATCATTTCATCTAGCGTTTACGTACACTCACACATTCAAAGCCACGGACACATACACACTCCTTCTCTCGCTTTCTCCTTCTATCACTTTATCTCTCTCACTTGCTCTCTTTTTCTTTTTCACACATTCTGTTTTTCACACCATTTCATCTAGCGTTTACAGACTCCCCTCTCTCTCTCTCTCTCTCTCTGTCATTCTCTTGTTCGCTTTCTCTCATTTTACACATTTCATCTAACTTTTATGCACACTAACACACACACGCATACAGACGCACACAATCTCTCTCTCTCTCTCTCTCTCTCTCTCTCTCTCTCTCTCTCTCTCTCCCTTTCTCTTTCTCTCTTCGTTGTTTGTTTCCCATTTCGTCGCATTTTCCAGAATCTGACAACCAATCTAGTCAATTAATTCTGAAAGCCTGGAGGTCGTCGAATTTCTCCGTCACTGTCGAATTGGTGAGTCACTATTAAAACCAGACTATTTTCACACTTACAAAATTTAGTTCGGCACAAACACAACTTTGTAGAAACGAGGGAAGAAACAATGTCTTGTTGCAATATTCTTCAATGGACTGGTTCTTCCTGTCTACAGAATGGACTGGCTCTACTTGCGTACAAAATAGACTGGCTCTCCTTGTCTACAAAATGGACTTGCTCTCCCTTTCTAAAAAAATAAAAAATAAAAACGGACTGCCTCTCCCTGTCTACAAAACGGACTGGCTCTCCCTGTCTACAAAATAGACTGACTCTCCTTGTCTACAAAATATACTGGCTTTCCCAGTCTACAAAATGGACTGGCTCTCCTTGTCTACAAAATGGACTTGCTCTCCCTTTCTAAAAAAAAAATAAAAATAAAAACGGACTGCCTCTCCCTGTCTACAAAATGGACTGGCTCTCCTTGTCTACAAAATACACTGGCTCTCCTTTTCTACAAAATAGACTGGCTCTCCCTGTCTACAAAATGGTCTTGCTCTCCCTTTCTAAAAAAAATAAAAATATAAACGGACTGGCTCTCCCTGTCTACAAAATAGACTGGCTCTCCTATTCTACAAAATAGACTGGCTCTCCCTGTCTACAAAATGGACTTGCTCTCCCTTTCTAAAAAAAAATAAAAATAAAAACGGACTGCTTCTCCCTGTCTACAAAATGGACTGGCTCTCCTTTTCTACAAAATAGACTGGCTCTCCCTGTCTACAAAATGGTCTTGCTCTCCCTTTCTAAAAAAAATAAAAATAAAAACGGACTGGCTCTCCCTGTCTACAAAATAGACTGGCTCTCCTTGTCTACTAAATAGACTGGCTCTCCCTGTCTACAAAATGGACTTGCTCTCCCTTTCTAAAAAAAAATAAAAATAAAAACGGACTGCTTCTCCCTGTCTACAAAATGGACTGGCTCTCCTTGTCTACAAAATAGACTGGCTCTCCTTTTCTACAAAATGGACTGGCTCTCCTTGTCTACAAAATAGACTGGCTCTTCCTGTCTACAAAATGGACTAGCACTCCCTTTTTAAAAAAAATAAAAATAAAAACGGACTGCCTCTCCCTGTCTACAAAATGGACTGGCTCTCCTTGTCTACAAAATAGACTGGCTCTCCCTGTCTACAAAATGGTCTTTCTCTCCCTTTCTAAAAAAAATAAAAATAAAAACGGACTGGCTCTCCCTGTCTACAAAATAGACTGGCTCTCCTTGTGTACAAAATAGACTGGCTCTCCTTTTCTACAAAATAGACTGGCTCTCCCAGTCTACAAAATGGTCTTGCTCTCCCTTTCTAAAAAAAATAAAAATAAAAACGGACTGGCTCTCCCTGTCTACAAAATGGACTGGCTCTCCTTTTCTACAAAATAGACTGGCTCTCCTTGTCTACAAAATGGACTTGCTCTCCCTTTCTAAAAAAGAAATAAAAATAAAAACGGACTGGCTCTCCTTTTCTACAAAATGGACTGGCTCTCTTGTCTACAAAATAGACTGGCTCTCCCTGTCTACAAAATGGACGTGCTCTCCCTTTCTAAAAAAAATAAAAATAAAAACGGACTGCCTCTCCCTGTCTACAAAATGGACTGGCTCTCCTTGTCTACAAAATAGACTGGCTCTCCCTGTCTAAAAAATGGTCTTTCTCTCCCTTTCTAAAAAAAATAAAAATAAAAACGGACTGGCTCTTCCTGTCTACAAAATGGACTGGTTCTCCCTGTCTACAAAATAGACTGGCTCTCCTAGCCTACAAAATAGACTGGCTCTCCTTGTCTACAAAATAGACTGGCTCTCCCTGTCTACAAAATAGACTGGCTCTCCTAGTCTACAAAATAGACTGGCTCTCCTAGTCTACAAAATAGACTGGCTCTCCTTGTCTACAAAATGGACTGGCTCTCCCTGTCTACAAAATAGACTGGCTCTCCTAGCCTACATAATAGACTGGCTCTCCTTGTCTACAAAATGGACTGGCTCCCCCTGTCTACAAAATAGACTTGCTCTCCTAGTCTACAAAATAGACTGGCTCTCCTTGTCTACAAAATGGACTGGCATTCCTTGTCTACAAAATAGACTGGCTCTCCCTGACTACAAAATGGACTTGCTCTCCCTTTCTAAAAAAAATAAAGATAAAAACGGATTGGCTCTCCCTGTCTACAAAACGGACTGGCTCTCCTTGTCTACAAAATGGACTGGCTCTCCCTGTCTACAAAATAAACTGTCTGTCCTTGTCTACAAAATAGACTGGCTCTCCTTGTCTACAAAATGGACTGGCTCTCCCTGTCTACAAAATAGACTGGCTCTCCTTGTCTACAAAATAGACTGGCTCTCCTTGTCTACAAAATAGACTGGCTCTCCCTGTCTACAAAATCAGCACTGGCAATCTTTTTTATGTTTTTTTCTGTCCAGGCTCTTAGAAATGTTTTAATCTTTTTTGCTATCATCCCTCCCTCCGTCTACACAAGTAGATTATTCGCTGTTTTTTCTCACTTGCCTTTGACATAGTCCTGTGAGTGTCAAATTACCCAAACCCTCTTACTTCATTATATATCGCAAAGATTTCAACTGTTTTTGAGTCTAAGTGTTATTTTCGATTCCTTTTCCCTTAGTACTTTTTTGTTGCTCAAATGTTTCCTCTATGGAATTCTCTATGACATCCATCCGCGTCACATCAAGTTTCCACTTCATTTTCTTTTTAATTGGCATTTCTATATTCGTTAAATTGCCACACAGAGAGTTGGCTTGTCAGCTCAAACCAGAACAATGCTAGACACAGAGATAGATTCAGTCATGAACGACATTTTCCGATCAAGTAAGGCTGCCATTAAAAATAAAGTTTAAAGCGATCAAATCTGTCGGATTGAGAAATAAACTTCTTTACTTCTTTAGATAATTGCTTTGTTTACTTTTAGATACGAAACTGAGCTGATATAAAACTTCAAGATTCTATGACGAGACTGATTTCACTTAAAGGTACTATTCAGACTGGCTTGATCGGGTTCGTAGATCGTGTCTAGCAACGGTTCACTAGGCCCAGATGGATGCTGGTTCGAATCCTGCCCTAGAGCGCATATTTTTCTTTAATAAGACTTCTCGAATATTCAGGCCGGTAGACGAAAATAAATATATGGGTATTTCCTTGTAGAACGTCAGACACCATTGCAAACACAAAGGAATTTTCTTTTCTTAAAGCTTTTCTGGTGATAATCATTATATAACAATCGTAATAGGTATAACATTTTTTTAACTGGATTCTTAAGAAAGTCGTCTAATAGCTTTTTAAGCTTGTCTTTCTTGAGGATTTTGTTTAATGGGACTTTTTCTTTCTTTTTTTTTGTTTTTTTGCAGATACCTTCAGTGATTAATAAAAGCAGACCTCACCTGCAAAATGTGGAGATCTGCATTTCATATTACTCACCGACTTAACAAGTTTTCAAACGAGCAACGATGCAAATTACTCGTCACGCCAGACGCGACCATCTGCTGTGTTTGGTAGGAAGCCGCGGGTGATTAAATGAAAACGCTCGCCACGTCCGTATCTAATTCTCGACTTGTACTTTGAACAAACGAGCAATCATCTCGACCTAAGACGAGGTGCCAAACTGATTCCAGTGAGCCATTGTTTTCTGGATTTGATATTACTCAACGATTTTACAAGGATATGACACCAGGTAATGAAGATCGGTAACCCTCGTTTTAACTCCAGAACATTTTTCACTTGAGGCAAACAAAATCGTTCAGTTTCCCTTCAAGACATCTTTCTGTTTGACAATATCAGACAGGATGAAACGTTGAGTTGCTTTACCTTCATTTATAAATTTAGTGATCGCGAAAGTTAATACATTTGAAAACGGTCCTCTCGGAATGTATGCTGATTTTCTAAGAGTAGCTTCGACGTGGCACAAGGCTGAACGGATAGGGAGCCCAGTGTTCTCAGAATGTATGGTTTTCAGCAAAAGAAATAGCCAAAGATGCGAACAGGTCAAGATGCGACCACTCCAGATGGGAAAAGACCAAAATTCAAACGTATCGACTGTAAAAAGTGTGGGACCGAAATGCCAACCTAGTAGCACACTTAAATTCATGCAGATGGGGCGCCAGTGAAAATAGCTCGTCAGAGCAGTTGCCATGACAATATTTGTATAAAAGACAGAGTGGAGATACATCACGTCTGTGAGGAAGTGACTGGAGTCGAGAAGCCAGGTTAGAGCTTATAGCATACGACATCTGAAACATTGTCATGTCTGAATCAGTCAATCTTTATTTATTTTTTTAAGCCTTTCACCCCAAGCAAGGCTGGAGTGTCCCTAGCACGCAAAGGGTTACAGAGAGTGAGAGCAAGAGTAAAAAAGGGGTGTTTGAGGAAACGATAAAGAGAAGGACGGGGATCAAGATCAAAGCATCAGAAGATGTCGATTGACATTACATTTAAATTTTTAAAGATTATATTTATCAGGGAAGCAAGTAAGAGAAAAAGGGGTTACATTTAACTGTAGCCATGAAAATATTTTTAGAAAAGACAGAGAGAAGCCACATCACGTCTGTGAGAAAGTGACTGGAGTCGAGAAGCCAGGTCAGGACTTATCACATACGACATCTGAAACATTATCATGCCCGAATCAGACAATCTTTATTAATTTTTTCACGCCCCCAAAGCAAGGCTGGAGTGTCACTAACACGAAAAGGGTTACAGAGAGTGAGAGCAAGCGTGAAGAGAGGCAACATTAAAGAGAAAAACGGGGATCAAGATCAAGGCATCAAAAGATGTCGAGACATATTACATTTAAATTTCTGAAGGTTATAATTACCAGGGAAGTAAGTAAGAGGAAAAGAGTTTTACTGTCGGGAAGTGCGAGAGAAAAAGTTGTTGGAGTAGAAGAGGCGGTTGCATTTAACTGTTTCGACAGTCAAAGGGTGGGACCGAGACGCCAACCCAGTAACGCGCTTAAATTCATACAGTCAGAGCACCAGTGAAAATAGCTCGTCAGAGC